CTGGTTCAAACCAGTTTGTACTGGTCTGAACTGGTTTGAACTGGTTTAAACTGGTTTGAACTGGTTTGAACTGGTCTGAACTGGTCTGAACTGGTCTGAACTGGTACCTGCTGGGCGAGCTCGCGGGTGGGGGCCAGCACCAGCGCCTGCGTGGCCTTGAGCTCCAGCTCCACCTGCTGCAGGATGGAGATGGCGAAGGTGGCGGTTTTACCTGTGCCGGACTGCGCCTGCGCGATGACGTCATAGCCTGGGGACAGAACAGGTGTGTGTGTTACAGGTGTGTACAGGTGTGTGTGTGTACAGGTTTTACCTGTGCCCGACTGCGCCTGCGCGATGACGTCATAGCCTGGGGACAGGTGAGAACAGGTGAGAGTTACAGGTGTGTTACAGGTGTGTGTGTACAGGTGTGTCACAGGTGTTACCTGTGCCGCACTGCGCCTGCGCGATGACGTCATAGCCTGGGGACAGAACAGGTGTGAACAGGTGTGTTACAGGGGTGTGTGTGTGTCCATCCAGGTGTATCCAGGTGTATCCAGGTGTGTTCACAGGTGTGTCCAGGTGTCTGTGTCCCTACAGGTGTGCCCTGGAATGAACTGGGAACGGACTGGGGGCACTGGGGCTGTACTGGGCTGTACTGGGATGACCTGTCCAGGTGTGCACAGGTGCGCACAGGTGAGTTTACCTTTGATACAAGGCAGGATGGCTCTCTGCTGGATGGCCGAGGGTTTCTCGAAGCCGTAGGCGTAGATCCCGCGCAGCAGCGCCTCCGACAGGTTCATCTCGTCAAAGCTGTCCACAACCTCGTGCCAGTTACTCTGCACCAGTACAAACCAGTGAGGACCAGTACAAACCAGTACAAACCAGTGAGGACCAGTACGGATCAGTACAAACCAGCAAAAACCGGTACAGACCAGTAAAAACCCCCATAAACCAGTACAGACCAGTCCCAGTAAGGACAGAGCCTCGGCCCAGTCGGACCAGTTTGGTTCCAACCCCTCCCAGTCCATCCCAGTTTGGTTCCAAACCCTCCCAGTTCAATCCTGACCCCTCCCAGTCCATCCCAGTTTGATTTGGGGCCCTCCCAGTTCAACTCTGACCTCTCCCAGTCCCTCCCAGTTTAACTCCAACCCATCCCAGCCTGTCCTAAACCCCTCCCAGTCCATCCCAGTTTGGCTCCAACCCCTCCCAGTCCATCCCAGTTTGATTTGGGGCCCTCCCAGTTCAACTCTGACCTCTCCCAGTCCCTCCCAGTTTAACTCCAACCCATCCCAG